GTTATCATCATCTGTGCTCTCAGAATGTGTAGGATGCACTTTGAACTGAGTTGTCTGCAAGATAAAAGGTTTGCCTTTTCTCTGGAAGGATAGAAATGGAAGAGACCATAGAGAACATATAGTCCAACCTAGGATCTGCAAATGCCAGATGTGACTATAGCATCCCCAATGGGTCGTTATCCAATCTTTCCTTAAATATCTCTACAGAAGGGGAGCCCACACATTCCTGGGACAGCTTGTTTGACTGCCAGTCAGCACTTATCATCCAATCAGGCTTCACTGAAACCTGCTGTCCTGCCATCTCTGGTTCTTGCTTCTAGTCCTGCCTCTGGGGCCACAGAGAAAAGGCTGCTTCATTTTCTGCTGGCAGCTTTTCAGAGTCTCTTTAATATTATTTTCTCTGGACTAAATTTATCCACATTTTCCCCACTTTTCCTCATAGGACTTGGTTTCCAGACACATTTCACTTGGTCACCATCCTTCTTAAAATGTGGCCTCCAGAACTGGGTATGTTACTGCAGGTGTGGCCTGGCTAATGCAAAATAAGATGGAATTTATTATTCCCTTGATCTGGCACTACACTGAGCTGGCATTGCCTTTTCTTGCAGCTACATTACACTGATGCACCTAGAGCCTTTTCACACATACCTCTCCACACCAAGCATCTTCATCCTGGGCAGCATTGAAACTCCAACCTGATTCATGTTCACTGACTCATAGTCCTTGCATTTGAATGAAACAAATCTTCAGGCCATGCCCCTTTTATAAGCTGGCCTGAACTGACACCTGGAAAGCTTTTCCTTCTACTTCATGTATTAAAAGTATTTGATTTAAGCTTGCAAACACATTAAAAATGGCAGCATCCTGTGCAGAGATTTTGCCATAAACCTGACTAGAAAAAGGTACAACCTCTCACATTCCAGGAGACCAAGGAGAGGCTGTATTTGATCCTAAGAAAACTGTCTCTTTCTCACTGAGCTTGTAATCTTTAATGTTGGCTTCCCACTGTTCAATTTGCACATCTTAAAGCAGCAGCTGACATTTTCCCTTCAAACTTTTGGCAGCCTTCTTTATTCACCTCTTATTATTGTTCGCTACTTCAAGAGTAAGTTGACTCACTCCTAAGCTGTGCCAGCAAGGTGGAGCAGCAAACGCCTTAAAAGTTCTGCCGCTTTCCCCACAACCCACCCCTCAGAGCCATTGGAATTAGAATCATATACTGAAACTCTTCTGCCATTTCTAAGGATGGGTAACCCTGCCAAGTCATCTCTGGCAAGCCTGGCAGATTTGCACATTCATTCCATCCCGTTTCCAGATTGGAGATTTGTTAAAGTGACAGGGGAATGCTTGGGCATCTGTACTTTCTTCTGTGCATATTTTTGAACACAATATTCTAAGTGCGTGCATTTTAATGGATCTTTGAAATTTTATATTCCCCCCAAAAAAGTATTGTGTGTAGTTTTGCTTAAAATGTTCATTTATAAAATGTAAACATTGTTCCAGATAGTACAAAAGCATTTTTGTGTTCAGTTTTTTCTTAATATGCATTTTTCCTAATATCTGTATTTTTATGCATCATTTTTAGCTGCTGATTTCTAGGTCAACATCTGGGAAGAAGCTGATTTTGAAACACAGCTGTTTTCCAACTCATGCTTTAGTTCAGGGAGTACAAATTAGGTGTATTTGCAACAGGAAGATGCAAACCAAACCAAAATCTTACCCATTCCTAGCCCCTCCTCTGCCCAGCATTTCTTCTTCTTTGAAGCTACAAACTGCTTCTAACACAGCAACTCTGCTGAAACCTACCTACAAAATCCTTGGAGCAATATGCCTTGTTCAGGAGATACAGAATGAATCTAAAGACTTCATTGACTCTTTATTGCTTTTTAAACACCGTTTGAAATTAGTGTTTTAGTGTTTAGCTTGCATGTCATCTTTGGGATCAATAAGGCTAGGAAGGAATGTAACTCACTATCAGGAAGACCCTGGCAGGACTAATACTCTAGCCCAGATAAGATCTCCTCTGAGGAGCAGAGAAAGCAGGAAACCTAGAGCAGATGGAGACTTTTGAGACTCCGTATTGCGAAGATTTAGCCAGAGGCCACTTCCTTAGGCGATATCCTGGTCCAGCAAGCTGCAATGGAGCACCAGGGCCCATATCCCAACTCTATACCTTCCAATTTTCTCTGGGACCTCAAGAGTTACAAGAACCATTTTCAAGTCTGGTGCCACCATGCTCCACCATCAGGCCTATTCAGAAGGTAGAGTGAACCCCTACATGTTCTAGATCCTAGGCTTCATCAGGATGAGGTAGGACCATTGGGCCCGCCATCCAAACACTCTCTCTCTCTCTCTCTCTCTCTCTCTCTCTCTCTCTCTCTCTCTCTCTCTCTCTCACACACACACACACACACACACACACACACACACACACACACACAGAATGCCTGATGGCTGCCTGCTAGTACAAGAATGCCAGATTGCCTTTCCCTTTCCTTCCCTTTTGTGAAAGAAGGATAAAGGTTCTTTTAGAGATGGGCAAGCTATCTTGAGCTCAGCTTGGACTGAGCTGGGAATTACCTGCATTCTTTGGGGTAGAAGAACACTTGCTTAATTACTCTCGTACTTTCCCCTTTACTCAGCAATGGCCGGAGAAGATCTAGATTGATAAAGGGAGAGTGAGACGATCCCTATCCCTCCCCCTGCTCTCTGCTCTCCATCACCTTGGTGTGCTTGGTGGCAGTATGCCAAGAGGAAAGCTGCAGTGTTCCCTGGGATTTGTATTCTTCTCAAGGACTGTCTTCAGAGGCTTTGGGAATATTGCAAATCCAAGGGACCAGCACACCGCAAAGATGAAGATGGAGAGTGGAATAGAGAGGCAATTCTCTGTTCCTCTTCCCATGTCCCACATACACTTCTGGCTAATTAAAGAGAATTTTGGGGGAGTGGGGGGCATGCACAAAAGGTATTTTGGCAGAAGCAAAGGTTGGCAAGGAAGGGAAAAGAAGGCAGGAATTGTTCTCTGGATCTGAGCCAAAGTAGAGTTTGGAGCTGTAGAGTTTGCATCCCTTTAGGATAGGCTTTTCGAACCCTTGAAGTATTTTTCCAAGTCCTACTCAGGAGCACCTCACCAGCAGCTAGCCATTGATATGCATAACTAGTATGTTAGCCAACTCTATTATGTATGTCAAAAGCCATGAGCTGAGCAGAGACAGAAGTACATTTGGTGAATGATTCAATTTTAAAATGGAAACTTGAGCCATCAGGCCACCGAAACTACCACTGTCTCCCCTGGTTCAGGTTTCGAGGAAGTACAGTAATCCCACATCACTGGCCATTTTGCCTGGACCGCCACCCCCGCCACTCACCGCATGCTTGCAAAGCCCTACTACTAGCTTAAGCTAATTATTATAAAACTTTCTCATTATTGTCTGAAGAGAAGAATGCACTGAATGACCGTCACATACGCAATCTGCAGTGTGTGAGAAAGACCTGTGTATGTCAGAAAGATATTTGCAGAGCAAACAGCTCCAGATTATTCAAATGGGTGAAACAAGGTACATTCCATAGGACAAAGCAAATTTACAGTGCAACAAATTACGTGGGGACAGACTTTTTACACTGATTCTAGGACTTTGTCATTACGACTTCATGGTATGATCAATCCCTCTCTATCTTCCTTGTCCTCCACTTCAGACCTCCAGTTCAAAAGGTGGCAAGCATGCCTTGGTAATTCAGTTTTGTTCTGGAACAAACACTCCTTATCACACCCCAGCACTCCATAGGGTAACTTGTAACAAATCTGTGTAGGCATCAATTTAAATTGTATTGACAAAGGAGGCCTTGGACACTTTGATCTCCAGAGTGAGAAAAAGATCTTAACTCCTTTTTGGAGTGGCTAAATATAGAAACTGATGCAAATGTCTTTATACTAGAAAGAGCTGGTTCTTCTGCATCAGATCCTGAAAATGAAACAAATTCCCAAGCATGCAGGTATACAACAAAGGCATACAATGCCCTTTCTGAATGTTGCAGAAGGAAGAAGTGTGAAAACAGGGCTTCCAGCTTTTCTTCCAATTTGGCACCTGTGATAACATGTGAAAGCTTTCATTAAGATCCAGTTGTCAATCAAGTACAGCATTAAACTATTCAAAGGAATGTGATGAGAACAAGAGCTTACTTAGATAACAGTTTCTCAGCCACTAGGTCTGGGAATCTTAGTACAGATGCCTGCAACAATGACAAGAGAGTGCATTTTGCATGTATTAAATTATTGTTCTGTTTATTAATACTTAAGGTGGAAATGTCTAACTTCCCTTGATAATGGCAATTAAAGTAGGCTATTGAAATCTAAATGTGTTTGTTTGAATCCTTCAGGGGCCAAAATGCTCTGGAGCATAGCCAAGGCAAGTAACATAAACCAGGCCATGGTGTGTACTGCGTTCCTGTTACTAGTCCCAACACTCAAATAAATGGAGAGCCACTGGTTAAGATCTCCTTGTGTTACACAGATGTTCCTCGGCGACTCGGAACGTTTCGAGCAATTATGTGTGACACTTCACAGCAGCTACACGTTGTTTGGGTCTATTGTCCCTCGCCCCCCCCCCCCCGCCACCTCCAGGAACCTTTAGAAGAAGAATCAGCAATGGTGTTGTTAATGTGAGATGAAAGCAGTGCTCCTCACCTCAATATACAAGCAATGGCGTGATCACACTGCCAGAAGCAATGGAGAAACAACAAGTCTAATGTGCAAATATGTGTAAACACTGACACAAAGCCCATTCATTGTTCTTGTGGGCTGATGCGTGGGGAGAAACAAACGCTTCTTGCTCATTTGCGTTATACATGTGAAAACACTGTCTGGTTGAAGAATGCCCGTCTGTGGTTTAGGGAGCCTGGTATGCACAGAGAAATAACTCCAATTAGCTGTGCCATCTCTGGGATCAATAGATACAATAGCAAGTGACACTTCTCTTTCTTATTGGTTTCCCCCAACACAGAAAGCCAGACTTGCTAGGATCCATGCGGCAAAGAGTGGGAGTGCCAATGCTTACATGCAGAGCAAACGAAACGGCTTACTCAGTAACCAGCTGCAGCAGGTATGTCCGTGCTGAATCCAGAAACACTCTCGTAGCAGCCCAGCAGTGCTTTTTCTGTTTCACATCAGAAGAGGGTGAGCTATCTCCAGACTTACCAGGACAGCTACCCTTAGGCAGAAACGAGAACAATTGTTCATAACACAAGCTGCTGAAAGGCCAGCATTAGCTGGAGTCCAATTTACTGTTTGGACCCACATAGGTCTACCGATGTCTCTGTTAAGGGAATAGGCTTCCCTTGCTCAACTCCAAAAGTCATATTTCTCATATGAGCTTCCGATGTACCATCAAAGGCAGTTCCCCTTGCCACACATGCATGGCAACACTAGAGTGACCACTTGTGAATCACTGAAAAAGAAGACAAAAGAAGACATTTATCTGCATAAATGTTGCCTACACTTTGTCTATGTAAATTTAGAATGAATACTTTTAATACACATTGAAATGTGGTACAAGGGGCTATAGTTGCAAGACAGTGACCAGGTAAGCTGTGTACTTGCCTCTTCAGCCAGTTGCCCAGGTGCTCAGTGTTGATTGTCCATGCTAACCCTTCTGGAGGTTCCTTGTCTTTCATCTGGATTTGACCCTTCAAGTAGAGGATGCCTTCCAAGCAGAGCACTGTTGACCTCTGGCTGGCCTTGAAACAAAGCACTGTTACCTGTTATCAGAGGACACATGGACATCTAAATCCACACATGCCATTGAGTAGGGTGCCCAAACAGCTTGCTGGGTTCCATCACCCTTTATACTTCACTTAAGCCTTTTATTCTGAAGGTACAGTTTTTATACCAGGTAATCTCTGATCTCTACTGAAAGGGAGATATGTTTGCACCGAAGGATATGTTTGCACTGGAGATTATGCAGCATTTGGCTCTCACAGGGAGCTTCCATGCATCCAGAAGGCTCTTCTCTTTAGACTGTCACTCTCTGTAAGCTGAAGGTGACAAATGTGTTGAGGAAGAGGGCAGCGTTGTTCATATGTTCAACTTTAACTCTTTTGTGAATGCTAATCGCCCTCTCACTCAAAACTTGTTCCTCTGCTGATCACTCATTTTCACAGTGCATGCATGGAAAGAAAAGCAATATGGGAAAAAGGATACAAAATGAGCACCTGCTGGCTGACCAGTCATGCCATTTCATGAAGTTGCCTGCTTAATACAGGAAAATACATCATCTGCACTAAGGGTAGCAGTTCAGCACATCTGGAATAACTGCCTTCCAGAGGTGTAGATCTCTTTTTTGCCTCATCTCCCAGCTGAGGAATCAAGTTATTTAGGATAGCTATAGAGCAGTAAGAATACCAAGGTATTCACTTGTACATTTTGGAGGCAGTGGAAAACGGCAGTTGCATTACTATTTTGATATTTTTATATCTGTGTTCCTTGTTAGGTGGTTGTTATTTTTCAGCAAGTCCTGTAAACCAGGTCTTGAACTCAGTAGCATTTAAATTAGCTGTGTTCAACTTGATTAGATTGTAAGCATAACTAGTTTTCCCTGAATCAGTTGCACAATTGTGTTTAAGTCTCATTGATATAAGCTGAGCAAGTGCAATTATCTCTATTCTAAAAACACAAATCTATTTTTAAGGGTTGGTTTGAGATGGCTGATTTGCTTTTGCAATGGATATGATGAAGCCACCATGATGGTAATTTGTTGCAAACTGACCATTGGCTTAAATCTTTGGCTTGTCTTAAACTTCAGACCAACTCTTAAAATGAAGATGAATCAATTTATTCAGGGAAAATTTGAATTTTTAAAAGAAAGTCTAATTGTTTATTTGATAAAGGATTGCAGCATTTTTCAGTCAAACAAGATAGTCTTTGATCAAGAACCTAGAGATAAAGTCCCATTTTTATTCACAAATGACAATAATATAATCTTCAATGTATTAACAGTTAAGTGGTGAAGAACAAGAGGCCTTTGTTAGCAAAGCTGGTTCTTCCTTTGAAATCCAGCACCACCACCTGCTTCACTGTCTGGAAAAAACCACGGTAAGATGATAAACCTGCCACCTTGTAACCTGTGAAAAATAAATATGGCATTGATTTACAGTTTTCCTTGGTTAAAACTTACTCTGATGCTGAATATTTTCATTGTACTACAGCAAAGACATTTTGTGGAATCATATTATTATGAAATTATTTTGGTGCCATAAATCTGGACTCATCTGGGACCTTGTTAGCTCTGTTGTGAATAGAGCTGTGTTTTAGTGGCGACTGCTTCCCTTTAACACAAGACAGCCAAATCAGATAATTTCTGGTGGAGGTATTGGAGCAAAAGTCAGGACAACAGGAAGCTGGAGTAATCACGGACTTCCTTTACTGGGCTTATGTATTTTATTTCTATTTAGAATATTTACAGGCTGCCTTCCAGGGCAGGAGCCTTCCCTGTTCCTCAGGTGGCATTTAACATTAAAATACATTTCAGTAATAGCAAGTCCACCTGCTCTGACATAGACCTCTGCTAATCCTGTTTTTGCCATTCCCAGCCTTTGATCTGCAAGAATGGTTTGACTTTGAGAAGAAATGTTGAAATGTCAGTGGGAGGACCCAAGGGGAGATCAGTGTGGGCATGGGTGCAGTGGTCACGGCAACTCTGGGGAAGGTGACACCAGAAAGAGGGAGCCCTGAACCAATCTCTGAAAGTCTCTAGGACCGTTCTGCTGGCAACATCTTACTGGGCAGTTTGTGGTTTGGATTCCTAAAGCTGTGTTCCTTAGACTGAAATAACTTCTACTGTCAGAGGAGGCCCCCTTCGATTGAAGGAGAACCGCTAGACCTAATCCCATGAATCCTATTATAATCACATTCATTTTTCACTTTTATATACAATTACAGTAACTAGAAAACCTGGGCCTTCTTACACAGGACACTTTATATGGTGTTGATATGACTTAATGTTCCATGGTTTCCATCTGTTCCTAGAAGCTTGATCAGGTGCCTGCCTGTCATCAGAATAACACCTACGGTTTTGTGATTTTTCTATTGCATGGAGCTGAGTGTTAAATGCCCTGAGTGGCCAAATTTGGCACTCTTGATAAAGTGCATTAAGGGCTTAATCCTCTGTTTCCATGGGCTTGGACTCTAATGCTTTTATTTTATTGTTCAGGTGTCCTAGAAGACCCATTATTGATTTCCCCTTAGTATATATTTTTTCTTTCTATTCCTTTCCCTTACAATTATTTTGGGTTGCTGTTAATATCATGTTATTGTATTGCTTATATATAAATAAACTCAAGTACCAGGGTGCAAGCTGTTGTCAGAATTCAAAGAGCAACTTAAATGAACTTTAGGACGTGACCTAAACCAATGGAACTTTTCTATTACATTTTAAATATAAGCTATTATAGTCCCCCTATCTGTTTTTGGGTCTTCCCTCAGCTTTAAAAGTGAATGCTTTGTAGCATGGAAGCTAGCATTCTGGGAAATAAATACACATTCAAAGTTGTCTAGAATCCACAGAAGTACTTGCATGTCAGTTTGTTTATTTTTAAAAACATGTATCTATTTTTGATTTGTTAAAAAACTTTATATTACTATTAAAATAATATACTATCAAATAAATACACTTCCGGTTTAATGAACATGTGAGCTGAGAGCAGGGTTGAGGCAAGTAGCCCTATCTTGACCTATGTATATCATGTAACTCCTCCTCATGGACCTCCACACCTACAGCAAGGAAACCTGCCCAGAGGACCTCTACCTGTCTGTCTGTCAGTGTGGAAACCTTCCTGTGACCCAGGAAGCCTCATCTTAGGCAGGGAGTGCAAAACCTACCTCAGACTTTTAAAACAGTATATTCATCATCATCAAGACTGAAAAAAACCCGACAACTTTAATGCTGCTTTTGTTTCCAAATCCTGTTGAGCAGAATCACGAGTTTGTGGATGAACAAACCTACGAGGAAAGCTGCATGGAGGTTTCTACTGTTAACAGGCAGTCTGGCCACAGCCCTTCTCTTTCTTCTCAACAAGGAGTGACAAGTTCTTGCTGCTCACGGCGACATAAAAAGACATTCCGCATCCCAAACACCAACATCACCGGCAGCCGTCCAAGTAGTGTCCAAGAACTCAGTACCATTCAAATCAGATGCATGGAAAGGACACCTCTATCTAACAGGTACAACCTTATACGTGATTCTAAACAGAAATTTCTGCTCACACCTGTCCATGGCAAAGAATGGTGTGCATACATGTGTGTTTGTGTTTTCTTCTGGTTAAGGGCTTGTGTTCTACCATGTTAGATGGCAAGTGATTTCCTATTCTTAAAAATTTGGTGTGCTTAACTGGGAAATAAAAACGAATGCATGTTCTTTGCTTCAAATATCATGGCAACTCATCTGTATAAGGTAGGCTGTACTGACTACTACTTTCTAAATTTCTCCTCTCATTGTGGTAAACCATCTATGAACTGATAGTTTGCCATAAATTCAAGAGGAACAACATCTTTCCACAAAGCTATTCCCTGTGCCATGCTTCTTTCCTTGATAGGTGAGAATTCAGAGCACAGCAAGCAGTTTTAATTATACGTACTATAATAGGGTCTTATTGGGAAAATGTTACTGTGTAGATGAATTTCTTCATAACAATTTATTCATATTGTGACTACAAAAACACCGGTTGATCCCAGATGGCAAAACAGATGGGAGGAGGTTTAAATATTCATCTCTATACTTAATATTTCCAACTAATGTTTTAATACACTGCAAGATTCTCACCTGCCTAACCTGAACTTAATGCTTAGTTATGACAAACACTCATATTAAATTCCCTCAGTTTTACTGCTTTGCCATGACATTTGCATATTTTTTTGTGAACTGCCTTGCTGTTCTGCCATACAATTTGCATAATTGTCCTGTTGGTCTCACTGCTCTGCCTTGAAATTTGTTTTTTTTTTTTTTTCCTCACTACTTTGTATACCTGACATTGAAAAACAGTGGAATAGAGGAAAATGGCACAGTGGAATAGAGGAAAATGATGGGACAGGAGCTAAAGGCAGATGGCAACTGCGGGAGAAAATTCTTTGGGAGCAGACAGATTACTTTGGAAGTGGGTGAAGAGGACTTTTGGGGCAGGGGTTAAAGTGAATGCAAAGAGGCTGAAATTGATAAAGACATTGACAAGAAGAGGATATTGGTATGCTTGGTTAAATACTGAACAGGCTGGCTTGAATGCTTGTGCGCTTGCATAAGCCAGCCTTTGTCCCGCTCCCCTCAAAAATTGTGAACATGTCACTGGGAGCACAAGTGCTCGGAGAGCTTATTCCATTTGGCAATCTGCAATTGACCAACCATATGGAGAAAGGGTGCTGCTGGAAATGAGTTTTGGGGAAATGAGCTTTGCCATAGATGTGTCTGGGAGCCATGCTAGGTGCTGGAAACAGGACCGAGAAAGGGAACCAAGCCGTGGCAAGCCACAGATCATTTGTTTGGTTGGTGAGCCAACACCCAACCCATTGCAGGCTTATCATGTCATGATAACTCACCCAATGAGCTGTATCCAGAATTAAGCTGGCTCAGCTGTTCTGGCCAAAGCAGAGTCTCCTGTTTCCCACAGTAGCTCCTCCACCCCATGAATTTGGGACACAGAGAGCCAAGAAACCTTGCTGAATGTTGTGTGGGGAAAAGAGGCTATTCCCCAAAATCAGTCAGAGTGAACTTCCTCTTGTGGGAGGCAGGTTCTGGCTCCAACTCAGTATATTCTATTCTAGAGATCCGTATACATTTACATGCACATATAGATCTCTCGCTTGAGGGACCTGCCCCTTTTACTTCCCTGGAGGCACTTCTTTGCATTGTTGTAAGATGTCGCTCCACTGAGATGCACCAGAAGATTTTGTGGGCAGGTAGACTGTTGTGGAATCAGGTTTCCACACCTCGGTATATATTTCAACTGGGACAGCTGTTATTAATACCTGAGGGTTATTCTCAAAAACAAATAGTTACCTAAAATGTGGCCAGCAACTTGGAACTTTTCTACAAAAGGCTGTTATGCCTCAGTTAATCCACTTACTTTAATTTTTATTATGTCACAGAATGGAGATTGAAACGCTATACAGGAGTGTTTCCTTTCCTATGTTTCCACTACATAAGCTCTAAGTAGCATTGTGGTATAGTGGAATAACACAAACACACAAGAGAAATAACCTCTTTTTTCACTTTCATTCTTAAATGCCATGTTTCCCATTCTAAAAAGAAAAAAAAGCACCTAAAGTCCTGCCTAGACACATAAGCAAAACTCAGGAGTGTGGGGAGTGTACATTGAGGACCACGAAATAAAAGCCCGGCGACTAGCAGACACAAAAGAGCCCTATGTTGCTTTGGTTTGTGGTGCTTTTGCAGACTTGGCCAGTATTTCAAGTGCTGTTTTTTTGTTTGCTTGCTTTGTTTTTAATTCTGTGTGATAAGGATGTAGTGCTTTATTTGTCCATGTAAATGTATTGAGACTGATGGATGTTCAGTGGAATAAGCATTTAAAGTGATACATACATTTACAGTTGGACACCCATATCCATGTGGATCGGTTCAAGTCCCCCAGCAGATGCCTGAACAGATAATACTGAACCCTTTATACTATATACCGCTATTTTTTTCATAATGTCATTCATTCTTATCGCAGCATAAAATTTCATCTTTCCCTATTCAATTGAGAACCTTCGCTTACAAGAAGCACTTTATGACCTCCCTTTGGCACTTTGTGGAACTTTGTGATTCCTTTTTGGCACTTTACAGCAATTCAGAACTTCTCTTTGGGGCCAAGGTCAACTGCAGTTAGCTGAAAGTGTGGTAACCGAGCCAGTGGATATGGGGGTCCTGCTGTATTTGCATCCTGCATGCATCTTGGATGGTTCATCACCATCTCAGAAGTGACTGAAAACACTAACTGGAAGCTTTATATAATTTTGTACCCACTGATTTCTTTTTAACCTCTTGTAGCCGATCCAGTTTAAATGCCAAAATGGAAGAGTGTGTTAAACTAAACTGTGAGCAGCCTTATGTAACCACAGCAATAATCAGCATTCCAACGCCACCTGCGACTACACCCGCGGGAGATGACAGGCCAGAATCCCCAGGGTATTCAGGAGGAAACATTGTCAGAGTATCTGCTTTATAAAACAATTAAGACTAGAAGCTGGACTGCAGCAAAGGGAATGCGATTCTGAAGAGAGGAGGCTGAAACAAGCCCTTCTGAAATGGAATGGCAACAGGCGACGGAAAGTTTCTGGAGATACAAAACATTATGGGGTTTCGCTATTGGGATGATGTGCAGTGGACAACCAAATGGAATTTCTACGTGTCACTTGAACTTTTCCAGAGCAAACTCTTCTGTGACTCTTTTGATTTACTCTGTGAGCACAATGAAATGTCTCCCATTGATGCTTCTTCTTACCATGAAAAAAATCTTTTTAATAAAATATCTAAAACAAAACAAAACAAACAAAAACACTAATCAGTCCATTTATGTTCCAACCGGATGCAAAATCAAGGATGGAAACAAAGTTTTGATAATGTGTTCTCTTTTTTCCTGTTGATAAACCCTGAATCTTGTTGACAAGCTGACTTTAAAAGAGTGAGAGAGAGAAAATGGCTTATACTGTATTTGTACTGATTGAAAGCAACACAACCATAATGCATGTGAAAATTCTTTGGAGCTGTGATCTGAGTTTACTTCTGTTGTTTATTTCAGGATAGGCATGTTAACATTTTACTGTAGAAAAAGGGGCATTTCTGTGCACTTACAAAAAAGCTGATTGTTAATGTTCCATGGTTGTATGAATAACTTCCTTTCGGGAGGGAAATGAATATTTCTTACTCGACACACACATTAGTGAACTTGAGGTGTTTTGTTAGTTTAGTATTTATCATTGTTTTCTCTTGCTTCCTCGGTACTGTTACAACTGCAATAATTCAGTGTACATCTGTTGTATCAGAATCAGGCTTTTATTTATATAACTGCACAAATCCAGCTACACAGATAAAAGAACCACATGGATAGACAATACAATATTCTCTGTAATATGGAAGTTTTAAAGAATTTCATAACTAGAACTGTTGTACCACAGAAGTCTTCTTAAAATGTTTCTTTAATACTCATTACCTTGTTAATTCCCTTAAGCCAATCATTGCCTTTTGCTAAATTTCTTTCATCTTTGAATGTCAAGGGTTTCCATAAATTAGCAAAGAAGCCCAGTTTCATTAATACCATTGTACATTTTAATGTTTCCTGAACAAAATGAAAGTCTTCCTAGTGTAGGGTTACAATGTAGTTCTCATCTAAAGTAACACTAACATGGTTTAGTGATTAACATCTCTAAAATTTCACCTGCTGTTGTGTACTACTATAAGCGAAGCTGACCACTGGGAGACAAGCAATTACAATTTGCTGAGGATCACTCAATCATTGTAGTTCAGAACATTTAATAAGATAGCCTAGCAGGGACTACTGTTAAAATAAAAGCCTTGGACCCTATGCTGCAAAACAGTAGGTAACTTCAAAGAATGTACTGCCATAGGATTACTACACAAGGTTCTCTGTTTAAATTTGTTTTTCTTTCATTGTCCAAAGGATTTTTAAAATGCTGTTTCCAGAAATGTGACTTTCTTCAATAGTTGCTATCTGTTTAGGAGCATGGTGGTTTTCTACTCTTCAAGTGGAAAGAGGTACTTCTAACCAACAACACGCAACCCAACCTTGCAGGTGCTTCTAGAGGAATTGCTAGATGGGTTTGTATAGCACCAGTATTACCAAGGGTCCTATATGATAATGCATTACCAGATGTAGCCTCATCTGATTATTGAATCCACTAATGTATGGAAGTAAGGATGTCTTTAAGTGGTTTCTTGTCTCAGCCTATGTCATATTAAAATTAATATATTGGATGTTGGTGATCAAATACCATCCTCATCTATCCCCAACCAACTTGTCTTGTACAATTTAGTGGCATCAATTGCTGTAGTATTATGTGGCCAGCATCACACTAAGTGAACACATTTCACTTTTCCAGATTGTTGGATCAGGTCGTCATTTATAGCAGAGGGAATGGTGTCTGTAGAGGTGCCACATTCTCCACCAGATCTTGTGGACTAATTGACCTGGGCCTGGCTCTTGCTGCATGAGCGTAATAGTAATTCTTCTTGCAGGAGTGGGCAGGGAAATGGCAGAAACTGTGGTGGCGCATGCCTTGTTTTCCTCAATGACCAGCTGAAGGAAAAAACTTTCAGGACTGGATGTAGGTGCTGCAAATGCATTACCTTCCTTTGATTTTGATCTCCCTTGAATGGAAGAGGGAACTATCATTACCATCACATAACACCTCTGGGAATGGGGCATCAACCTGATCGTGACAGAGAGGCACACGTGCAGGTATGTTTCATTACATGGATGCAACCTTTTGAAAGAGTGCAGCTATCGGAGGTGAATCATTGGGCCTATTTTTCACCCAACTTTCAATACTGGGACTTTCAAGGTCAATTCAAGGAGAGGATTTGAGTACATTTATCTCACTTCCAGCTGTTCACCTTTATCATGCTGGTTATGTATAACCAAACTTATTCAATGAGAAAATCACATTATGATAGGCATTTTAAATCAAATATTAACTTGCACTGGCACACCCCCATTATTACAGCTCATGGTTTTTTATTTACCTCTGTAGTCTTCTGAAGCCACAGAAACATGTCATTCATCCATCAGAGAAACAGTATCCCATTCTGACAACCAGTCAATGTGACCCTTAGCTCCTATCTTGACTTTGTATACAGTGCGCCAGATAATGGTGCATTAGTCTTTGGTTTGCTTCATGACTGTGCATTGGACTCCAGTAAAGCAAAGGACAGAAATTCAAAGTCTACAATGAGTACTCACAACTAACTTGGATGATAACTGACTATGTTTGTACTTTTGTTCTAGAATAATTTCTAAATTTAAAGTTGTTCTAATGTTAACCATTTGCAAATGCTTCTTTCTTTAGAAGTAACAACTTAATAAAATTAATGTATGCTAATTTGCTAGCAGAAAATAGCAGTCACAGAAAGCTGCTGGAAACAAAGCCCCTGTTCCAGGACATGCAATCTCCATACAGGAACAGGGTTTAATACAGAACGCTGCCATCCTGGTTTCAGATATGGCTGCTATGTAAGAGGAAAACAAAACAAATTCCAACCATAGAGTGATTTAATAGGAAACCCCATGCCTTAGCCTTGTGCATGAGGCAGTCTTGTTCCACGGATGCCACAGCCTTCCCACTACCTCCTGTTTCCTCTCCCATGTTTACCTTGATCAGGGCCAGCTCTGTTCCAAGTAAAGCAAGCCCAATAAAACTATGCTGGAATTTCAAGATTTTGTCTCTAATGATGCTGCATTCCGTATAGATGGGAAAGTGAAACAGCACTGCTCATTTAATAGGTCACATTTCTGCAATGGGACCTTCATTTCATCATTTACCTTTGAATTTGATAAAATGTTGTATAATGCTCATCACTCATACAAAAAGATTATTTGCCCCCACCATCTCCAATTCAACAGCTAAAAAATTATTTTAGTGTTTTAGGTGATTTAAATGCTGTTTTTTGGTAGTGAATGACTTGGCGACTGTAAAATACATCTGTACTGTAAATGAAATGTAATTATTTCTGTGTATCACCACAAAGAAACCAAGGTTGTTGGGTTTTTTGACCACTTTTGGGTGGGCGGGCTGAAATTTGTATTGTACTTTAGAAGGGCAGTATAACAAGATGTGTTATGCTGAATAAATCAGACATCTGAGGACAATTTAAATAAAACATCCGCATGCTTGAAAGGGATAAGTGGTTTTGCAATAACCTCGTTCATGGGACATTTTGCTCCTGACCATATTTCCAGTGAACCTCAAAAGAATGTGAGAAACCTTTGTTCAAATTCCTCTTGGAATTCAAGATGCCATTCCGTCTAGCTATTGTGCAGTTAATAAGCACTGTATCTCCAGGACATCAAGACCAACCTCTCTGCTCCAGCGTCTCAAAATAGCCTACGTTTTACTGTCCTGCTCCAAAAAGTATTCTAACGCATGACATCCCTTCAACAACTCTTCACCCTGATCTAGCTGCACACTTGTAGCTATGGCCCAGTAATTCGCCATAGCACTGATCAGATGCCATATGGGGAAGAGAGAGCAGATGGCTACAAAATCCACGCAGCCTGATTGTACTACGAATTCTATTTGCAGTACCCCTTTGCACACACAGGCTTTCTATGAAATACAAATACCTATTTCCCTCCTTGAATGTATCTCCCATCACCAATCAGGGGCAGCAACCCTTCATCCATTATGTGACTACCAGCAAAGGAAAGTCATCAAGAGATGCGCCATAGGCAATTCTGCTGTAGGAAAAACTTGACCACTGTGGTTGGTTAGGACCCCGGTATATGAAAGTTGTGTCAATTCAGATACAGTGACTAGGTATTTCTAGATCATCACCCACAGAAAAAGTGGCCAACTGGCTGCATGGGTCAATGACAAAGATACTTAATTATTTTTTAAACTTATATACCACACCCTGTCCAATAGGTATAAAAACAGACCAAAGGCTTAACCTATAAACCAGAGGTAGGCAACATAGCACCTTCCAGATGCTTGTGACTTCCTTTAATACCTCACTCTAGCCATTCCAACAGGAGATTATGGGACTTGTCACCCAAAGCATCTGGAGGGTACCAAGTTGCCACCTTGTACTGCAAACAACTACTTAAGGTGTGTGGATTTCAGCACCAATGAAAAATGGGCCATTTTGCAGAACCCTCATTTAAGAAAGAATAGCGAAAAGCAAATTGGATGCAACTGGGAAGGCATGAAATCATAAAAGCCTTTCAGATGAAAAGGAATAAATCTCACAGGGTTGGGGTGGGGGAGTAGATTAATTTTCAAAATAGTCTTTAGGTATCTTCAAAACATGGGAGTTTTTAAAGAAAGACAAAAGTTCAGTTTTCCATTAAATATGTTCTTTCAAATCTATTCATATTTATGGGTTTCCAAAGTTCTCCATATAGCATTAAGTAAACTGTTAAATGAACTAAAACAGTGCAGTTAAATGTCCCATAAAGAAGTACTAACAAGGGCAAGTTTACACAAAGATTTG